CTATTTTTTCTAGCTGTAGTGCAAGGCTTCTAGAGACCTTGTTAACTGTTGGATCATGCTGGAATTTTGATGATATTTTCTCAGTACATTGATCTTTAATCTCAATGGTTGGATCGTTAAAATTAGTTTTGTAATGAGAGATATTATCATAACAAAATTGTTCCCCAATGCGTTGGGCCCTTCAAGGGTTGTTTGTCTCGCTCTAGTAGACTTTTGTCCTTGGTTTGGGTACCCCGGATGAAATTGGGTGTCTACGTAAGGTTTCCTTCCAATCATCATTTTTTTCTCTATTAATTCTTATTAGTCTTACATTTACAAAATCCATTCCATCACCAACGTCTTTATTGAATTAAATTAATAAAATTATGGTTTATTTAGGCAAATATGGGAGCGACATGAGCATGCTTTGCTCTAAGCACGGGAATTGCTTGTCTTCAAGCATGAGCTTGCTTTGTCACCAAACCTAGCACATGCATGCTTGTCTTCAAGCACGAGCGTGCATCCTTCTAAGCAAAACCAAGGTTCATTTATCCAGCCCAACTCGGGTGTACTTTTCCAAAGCATGACCATGATGCCTCATGTATAGGTCTACACGAGTGTGCTTCACTTAAGTATGACCGTGCTTATCAGTCTAGAGTCATGAAACCACTTTGTACTTGGCTAATTTGCAAGTCATTCTCACCCTTTCTTTCTCTCTTTTGCATCACAACATAAAATTATCCATTACTTGACTTAATCATTTCAAAATTAAAAGTCATGCATAAAATTATTTCATAATGAAATAAATCACATCAACCCCCCCCCCTCCCCCAATTATGTACACAACCCTAATCCTCAAAAGAGACAACACATAATGTATGACAATCTACATCACAAATCGCAACATTCTCATACATAGTAATATGCAACAGTAATTTCATATATTTCATACATGCACCAAATCATATTCAATCAATAACTTAAGAGACTTAAGATTCGTCTCATTATCATTCACCCCTTTATATGTCATATTCAACCAAGAATTTAAGAGACTTAAGGTTCGTCCCATTATCACTCACCCCTTTATATGTATTTGGTGAGACATTCTCACACTCATCCCTTGAAAAGAATAATTATTATTACAAAATCCAAACAATTTTACCGTGCATATTAAAATATATGATTGAACATTAGTGTAAAAACGCGTCCTAATTAAATTCTAATAAAAATTAACAAAAGCGAGGGCGAGGATGTGATAGAGCTTGCTTTCGTCTAGGCTATTGATAATCGTTGCTTATAAATCAAATAAAATCAATTGTATCCATTCAAAAATATATATATATATTTCGAATTTCAAGAGATTTTTCTGTTTTGTGGATGCTAACAAGATCATTAAACAGAACAAATAAAATGGTGACAGATAGTGAAATTGATTCTGTTGGCCAACAAGATCCAAAATTCCATTGAAGTTGCTTCCCAGAAAAGAGGACCCCCTGTCTGTGATGGGGCCTCTTCTATCGCTGACCATAAAGCTTCGGGAGACCACACATAAATATAAATTTGAGTAGTTTTCTATTGCCGATAGGATTGATTTTCCTTTGATGGTTATAGATTTTTCTTTTCGTTTCAATATGATTATATTCTATATGAAATGTTGGAGTTTTGTTTTTGTTTTTGATTTTGACTTTGATTTTTTTATTTTTCATCTTTAAAATTAAACATTATAATTTTTAGTATTATTACATCACATTCGTTAATTATGTTTATTTTTTGAAGGGGTGACACTCGTTAATTATTAACATGTTGAATAGAAAATAAAATAATGATTCTAGTAAAACCTAATAATATTAGTAATATTGCATCAATAATAATACTTAAAAGAAATATTATCTTTTGGTTTTTACTTTTTTATGACATTTATTCTTTAATAATTATAACTCTCTTTTAAATAAAATTATCATAATTTCTATTTGTAATTATTGTCTATTTTTTTCATATATATATATATATATATATATATTTCTCAACTCGAAAATTTTGGATCTTGCAACCTATGGTTTAGACATCCTTTTAAAGTCTCATCAATTAAGGAATGTCAGGACACCAGACTAATCCCTAATTAATGGTTTTGAAAAATGGTTCATGGAGTCGCCACCAATGTTTTACTCAAAACATTGGAAAAAGAAAAG